CCCCAAAACCCCAAAACCCCAAAACCCCTGAGTAAAGTATAATTTCTTATCGTAAGAGTTAATAATAAATATCTAGTTAAATAAAATAAAATATGGCATTCTACGGAGTAGGTTTAGATGTTAAGGTTAGAGAGCTTAACCTCCAATTCAAGCTTTCCATTCAATAGAAGGGAGGAGTTGGACTTAGAACTCTCAAGAGAATTTTCCAAAGAATGGACTATAACGGAAATAAAAAGCTTGATGCAAGTGAGTTCGAGCAAGCTCTAGGTGCTTTCGGGTAAGTCGGTTAATCTCATTTTGAAGATACTCGATACTGTCACTATAAAACTTTCAAATATTTCAAAAATGGGTTCTAATCTTTGTTATAGACTTTTCCCCAAGAAAGTCGAGCTCTAAGCCTTAATGAAATACTACGATGTTGATGGAGATGGCAACATTTCATATGAAGAATTCATCAGAGGACTAAGGTATATTAAAAGTAACTGACGAAGTAATTTATAGAGATGAACTTACTGAGAGAAGAAAGAAGATGGTTGAGAAAGCTTTCAGAATGATGGACAGAGATGGCTCAGGTTAATTGAATATCAACGATCTCAGTAAGCGAATTGCATTAGTTTATGTATATTTTAGTTTCTATATATGATGTTTCAATGAACCCAGAGTTTATTGAGGGAAGAAAGACTAGAGAGCAAATCCTAGGAGATTTCCTTAACAATTTTGAAGGAGCAAAGGGAAACAGAGACGGAATAATCTCAAAAGAGGAGTTCTTCGATTACTACACTGATCTATCCATGTCAGTTCCAAGTGACGAATACTTCGTTAGAATGATGGAGTCAACTTGGTAATGCCCAGAGGAGGACAATGATGGTGCTGTCAAGGCAACCGTCCAAATGCTCCTCAAGGAGGTTAGACTTAGACTTCTAGAACTAGCTAGAAACGATCCCAAATTAGTTAGAAAGGTATTCTCAGACTTCGATCTAAACTAATCAGGCCATCTCACCATTGATGAGGTCACTAACATGATTGCTAAACTTAAAATTAGCGTCGAGAGAAAGATGGTTTATCCATTTTTCAAAATTATTGATAATGATAACTCTGGTGGTGTTGAATATGCTGAATTCGAAAAGTACCTTCTCTAGAATCCATACTGAGATCTCATAGGACACAGACTAGTCAAATAACTTTATTTCTGATTAGATTTTTATCATAAGATATTTTAAGTGCTAATTCTAAATGTAAAAGTATGCTTTTATGCAAAGGATGGGGTTTTGGGGTTTTGGGGTTTTGGGG